CGATCATAAAACAAATTTCAAATTTCAAATTTCGTCTTCCACATGCTCATATTCGTTGGAGGATTACGTTATTCAAAATTCGATGACTCTATGTACCGTTATTTTATGACAATGTGAGAAATATACATACATTTACGCAGATTTTCATTATTTAATTTCTTCAAATATAATGCAGGACTCTAACATTTTATGGCAACAGTTTGAAAAGTGAACCGACATTTATCCGTCCGACGCAAAATGCCAAAACGAAACTAATAGTCCTTCGGGATTCAAATCCCTTTGGACTAATAACGTTAAGTAAGATTCAGTTTCAAAGCACTTACGCATATCAAAACTTATCAGAATTTTATATAATTTACTATTTTCAAATATTTTAAAGCAAATATGTAAATTTGACTTACATTTACATATGGCCATATTGTCGAAATATTTTTGGATTGTTAGAATTTTTTATTTTCGCGCCTTCTTGAGATTTAGAGTAAAAGTCGTTAATTATTCGAACCAAAACATTTTTAAAGTTATACATTAGCTTTTCAGACAGCATATTTAATACAAAGAAAGCTTTATTCATATTGTTTGTATTAACACTTAGCAGTTGTGGATTTCGCGAATGAATCATTTTTAATATTACCCAGAAACCAAATTCATTTTTGTTTGTAGATTGAAAAACAAGCATAACGATATTTTCCTTTTTATTATACGCATTGCCCTTATTCGTATCACGAACATAATCTCTGTCACCATTAGTTCTGAAAGATGAAACAATGAATAATAAAGAAGTTAAACACGCTCTCCGAAATCATTTAGATGACTGTTGTACCATTTGATGACAGGATGTTTGAGCCATTAGAAAGATAACAGTACGCTTATCTATATGTTTATCATCTCAGTATTTTACATACAATCAATGGGTTATTTGCAAGAGACTGAAGTAAAGCATTATTTAATGTATGAGTTTGAAACTCTGATTTGATATAAAGTCACACTCTATAAAACGAAGAAAGTCAAACTCTATAGATTTTGACTTTCTTCGTTTTATAGAGTTACCCAGAGTTTGACTTTCTTCGGGAACATAAATTAGCATCGAACTCCTAACAGATGTTAAGCGAATTATGTGTCTGAAATGAGCTACAAACCTTGAAAAAGTTAAAGTGCCTTTTTATTTAAAACAGAACTTGAACATAAAATCAAGTCTATTGCTCACAATATCACCATTAATAATATATTTCAGCCACCCTTTGTAGCGATGAAAATTAAAGTAACGATCAAATTCAAAATTTATAATGTAAGCTAGTAGTCAAGACTACACAAATTATCCTAATGCCAAGCTTGCTCAGAACCTCAACTGGCGTGACGATTTAAATGACGGTAACTACAATGCAAACCGAAAAATTAAAATCATAACAGAGCTGAGAAAACATGGCAGAAACATGCCCTTTAAACGAATCATGAATCGTCTCATTTATGAATAAAGAAAACAGTTCTAAAGTATGAAAGAATTTTTCTTATAATTATCTATATTTATAAAAATAAGCTTTTTGTTATGGAATGACTATAGATCTGTGGTCAGAGGTTGTTTTACATGATGCACTGGTAAGAGAGGTGAAATCTTTTGTTACTTTCGCTTATTTTAATTAGTATTTAATAACAGCATTCCTTTTGTTATCTGAAAGTGTAACATAACCACTGATATCATATCATAGTATGGAAAAGGATTGGGATAATCCTATGTTCAGCTAAAAATAATTTTTGAGAGAAATATAATCCATATTTTCTTTTTTTTATCGAATGGTTTGCACTTGCCTTTTCCAGCATTGGCCACTGCTAAAGCCAAAAGGGATGGCCATTTTATTGTGGAGGCATCTAAACAGGCGGTCACCTTTACCTCATATGAGGGAACAGATAATTTGCATCCATGGCTTTCTCCGGGATTCGAACCCGGGCTCTTCGGTATCTCAGTGGGCTCCCCTAACCACCATATCATCTGGGCAACATAGAATTCTTATTATAATACTATAAGAAGCAGAGCTGTAAGATATTTTCGAAATAATTGTTAGAATAGTTTGAATGGGCAAGAGGTATCTGCATTAAGCGTTACATAAGATTGCATGATTAATTTCAATGACGCAATTAGACTTATGGCGCTACTTTTAAGACACTTTTTATCTTACACACATACACACACACACACACATATATATATATATAAAAATAATATATATATATATAAACGAAGAAATATAATAAGAATATATACATGTATAGTTAAACATTTTATATCATGTAAAATTAAAAATACATGTATATAAGGCTAAATATTTTATATTATGTATATGTACACATATGCATATATATATAAATACGTAAAAGAAGAAATATATATAAGGCTAAACATTATATATTCTGTATATAATGTATGTGTATATATACATATAATACACAGGGTGGATCAAATATATATTATATTAAAAGCTTCCACCATTGTTCGAGATTGTAAAAATATGAAATAAAGCATGTTAATCTATTTGTATAAATAATATTTAGTCTTATATAAATATAATTATGAATGCTTGATAAATTTCTAAAATTTATCACAACATTTATGTTACTATCCTTGAAATTTTTTATCATTTATATACAGTGTACTCTCGATTATTGGGGTTAATGCCGAGGAAGCAGGTGGCGAATAATTGAAAAGCTGAGATAATTCTAGCTATCAATTTTGATGCATATTGTATATGTTCAATTCTTAAAAAATTCAGGAATTTTACCTCTTTTTGAGAACGTTTAAATATTTGGTACATTGCATAAGTGTTATTTACCATTTTCGAATGCTATTTTGTTTGAAGAAGTCCAATAGAGCTTCAACAGAAGTCACTGGTGTCACGAAATTAATACCATTGTTAATTCTGTTTCGCTTTATTTTCAAAATCATCCCTCTTCCTTCTGTTTCTGGAATATTTGAAACGATATCCGCATCACTCAAGCCTTGAAAGCCCGGTTCAGTCGAATCTGCATTGAACCACTTCTCGACGTTTTTACGATCGGCATTTTCGAAGAATTTTACATTTTCAGGTTTTTTGGTATATTGTTTCAGTTATTGCTTAGACTTATCCGATTTCTGTATCAGGAAGTACCTTTCTCCTGCGAGGGTTTATAGTTTGCACATTCTCGAGAATAGCAGTAAAAATGAGTGCGTGGGTACCGCGGATAATCCGCATCCGGGTAACAGGCAGTATACAGTACTCATACAGTGTAGCGTAATTAAAACATGAAAGAAAAACGGAAGAAAAAATTCTTACACCTTTATCAATATTTATCATTTAAACATAACAAAAAACAGCGAACTAGTTATCATTTAAATAAGCAAAATTTCTTCAGTATCCAGCTGAAAATGATTTCTCTTAGTTGCTATGGTAGATAATATGGATTTAAGAATTGATAACGTGTTACTAAATGCTTTATTATATAACAAGGGTGTATAGTTTCCTGTATAATATTCATGAAACTAACTATTTTCTCATTAACTAGTAATGTTAACTAGGAAGCTTGCCAATATTTTTTTCCAGAATATAAGAACAGAAAAACAAGCATTTTTTCTTAAAACAATAACTATGCAACAGACATTGAAGTATTAAAATGATGAATCCTTTCCTAGAACAAATTATCTTATAAAGCATCTCCATTTTCAAAAATGATCTTAAGTGGTCTTAATTTCATCTCAAAAGTGACTAGCTTCTGGACGCAAGGAAATTATCTTCTTCGGAAGCAAGAAATTCCTGTGTTAAAAAATTTGACCTGTTATTTTAAAGTCAGTATAGCCTTTTAAACTTGAAATTCATTATTATACATTGGAATTTATTCTTTATTGTGGCAATTTATTGCATATGTTATCATTAATGTTTTTTTTTTTTTTCCACAATGTGATAAGACTTCTCTCTTTCTCCCTTTCATTTAATATCAAACTGAGCGTAAGGTTTTTCATTGATTGGTTTGGCTTATTTGATAGTAGCAAACACTGAAGAGCTCTGCCTGCCTTCGTGGAGGACTTTCTAAGGGAAACTGGCTGGCATACACGTTACACATGGAAAAATCATGAAAACGACGATACTGCTAGCCCATTCGATACCAGCGTTCAAGGACTTTACTACTCTCTCCGCTGCTGTGTTTTTTCGAAAAGAAAGTGTTTCACTGAAATAAAATTAAAGCAGGAAAACAGAGCAAAGGACTTAATACTCCGCAATGGTTTTCGAAATATTTTCTTCGCAAAAAAAGTATCATTATCGTTCTTACAGCGTATATAATTACGTTTAATTAAATTAAAGTAGTAAGTATTTTGTACAGATTTAGAAATTTTAAAGAAAATTTAGGTTGTTGATTTTTATTAAAATTGATTATTTTGATGAATGTTAAATGAAAGGCTTGATGATATGACATTTTTACTCTACAGAAATATTTTCGTGTATTTAAATTAAAAAAAACATCCATTGATTACTAAATTCAAAAGTTAGACTTAATTTAAGAGAATTTTAGCTTTAAGTAGCTACAAGATTTTTTTACATTATTCACATGCATCTTTATAGCATTTCGTACCAATCATTAACAAATCTATTGAATAAAAAAATCATGTTTATATTTAATAACAGCAATATCAATAATGAGATAAATTTAAAGCACATAAATCAGTAATGATATAGGCTAATTTAAAATTTATTAGAGTTGAAACATTGCTAAAATTTTATCTCTAAAAAAGATTTTTATTGCAGATAAATAAAAACGTATAAATTAATAGATAATCCAAGTTAATTAATTAATATAAGTTAATAAATTAATATATATATTAACATAATCTCACTATTTTCATATAAATTTTTGCCTTTTATTTTTCAGTTATAAAATGAGTTAAGTAGGAAATCTCTTCAGCCAACAAAGCGATCAATTTTCTAAAGAAGATGAATACAAATTGTAATTTTCCATCCAAATGTAAAATTCGGGCCTACCTTTCTTTGCGGGGTGGATGATCTTCGGTTTTACAAGGCGATAATAATGTGACCTTGCTCTTCGAAAGTCGAATGTAGAATTAAAGCTGTAGGTCGAGTGTTACTAGATGTCTTAAATACGAGGTGAATGAAAACTGTTACTGGTTGGTCCGTTCGCGCCGTTTTGGCCTCGTTGTATTCAGGTCAACGGAACGAGAAGTCTCAGACGCTCCCTCTCTGACGTAAAGAAGATGCTACTAACTCTCCCCCTCCCCAATTTTGCCCTGTAGGTACTGTGACAATGATTTGTGATCCTGAGAAGGGGAAAACAGTGGATAGAAAGTTATGTGAAGTGAATGCCAGATTCCTGTTCGGCTTACGGCTTAAGAGGGCTTTGGGAACTAGTCCGATGTATCAAGCATACCATAATACATTTACAATAAATTTATCTTGTATATCATTTTCACGTTCCAGCAACTTACACAAAACTCCCATCTAGCTGTGAATTGACCAAGAAAAATAGAATTGAAATTCTAATGTATCATAAGTAACATTCATGCATAATTCTGTCATTCCCCAATTGACAAATTCAAGAGAGATATTACTTTTGTTGTAACAAATTGTAGTTATTGCTCGTTAATAATTATTCGGAAATGGCCTAGTAACTTAGACTGCTTATAAGTTATAATTAAAAGTAATTATTGCGACATATAAGCAAATTGTGTAATCCAGTTCTTGTTATTGCATCAACTGCATAAGTCCCGAACAATGCAAAGAAGAAATTTGGAAAGTCCATCTTATAATAAAATTTAACAGAAGATAAATGTACCTCACAACAAAATTGTAGTGCCCCGCTAACAGTTATTTTAATTTTTGAGCCTTACCCGAATTCTCTTATTCCCCTCGCATTTCCTCGCCAGTATGCAAATTAAGTTGGCGAACGAGAGTATTTAAACTTTTGAGATGAAAATGTTAGGCAGAGCGTGATCCCGCCAGTGAAGAGCACGTTTACTATTTTATCTCCCAGCTGTTAATATTAGTAGCGTCTACGCATTCTGGCCATTTAGTAAGTATATCACGGGTGCAGGTTTCTGAGTCAGCCTGGTAGGTATAATTGATTTCTCTAGTCTAGCACTATATCGTTACCTTATTGTTATCGTTTAAGTTATTACGGCAAGTGGTCGTGTTTGGTGTAATCAGGTAAATGAGTGTCTTCTGTTATACAGTTATGATAAACAAAGGGTCTTTTACACCCTTTCCCTGTTGTGTTCATCTTCGCACCTGTGCAAGAAGTAGCCAGATACGAACTACGCAGATCTAGTTTCCATTTCATGCTTGCAAAACACACTAGATTTCACCAAATGAGCCACAAATATGCACATTTTTAACAATATGTCTTCATCTTCCATTAAGCAGGAATAGAAGTCTGTTTGACTAAGAGGATTACCAAACTTAGATCGAGTTGAACAGTATCACAGCTCTGCTTAGCATTCGTAAATATTCCAAAACGATGTTCAGTACGGCCTTCAAGCAAAGAAGTCTAAAAAATGCTTGTTGAAACAAAAACTGGAAATTTTAATTATTATTTTTTATTGAAACTTAATTTAAAAAGTATATTCAAAAAGGCTTATTTAGATCCTCTACCTAAACTTCCTGACATTTGCAGGCCTTTTTAGAATTATGCCTTCTAGCGAAGCTTTGTAGGCGTGTCCTATGTCTGACAAGTTAATGATGTTTAAGAATAGCATTACAGGGCTAGTACAAAGATACAGACAGTAAGGGAACGTAAATTAATCATATAGAGTCATTAGGTTTATAAGGTATTTTCTCTCTGCTTTCCGCATGCCTTCGTGGTGTAACGGTAGCACTCTCAGGGCGTAGCTCGAGAGGTCCACGTTCGAAGCCCGGTCAGGACATTGTTCATTTTTCGTTTTTTATAAATCCCAGTGACTCCACAGGTTTTCCAATGCAAAAGGTGTTAAAAATGTGAAATACACATGGGATGAGAACACCCAAACGCCAAATCCTGGTGGTAATGAATTAGCGTCTACGACATTTTAGTTTGGGCTCTTAGTATTTTTAGATGTCAGAAAACTGAAGAAATTCGCAATCTTCCGGACAGGATTCGAATCCTGAATCTCTCGACCCGCGTCTGACCCTGCACGTCGCGTTTCCTGTTCCAGTTAAAACACGAGGGCACGCGGAAAGGAGGGATAATAAACTTTATAAAGATATATCTAAACAGATGTGAAATGTCCATGAAATAAAATTATATTTAACATTTTAAAATTTACCATAATATATCAATTTATTGTGAACAGGATAATCAAAGTTAGCCCCACATAAAGTTTTTCCAAAGCTCAGTAAATCAACTTAATTTTTAATACAGCAAATATTTCCCATTGTTGCTAAAAGAAATAATGTAAAATATTTGATTAAATTATTATTTGATATTATTTGATCTCAATTAATCATTGAGATTATTATAATAAAATCAGTGTCTGCAAAGTAATCATTCGTTCATTACTCCTCATTTGAAACTTTAATATTTATTATAGAAGACATATACAAATTTACTTTTATGCAGCTATAATGGAATATAGGCTTAAATTAAGATATAATATAAAAAACGTAAAAACGTTTAATGAGACAACTGTGGTTTTCATTTTTATGAACAGTTTTCTTAAATTCTGCATCGATTCCTGTATATTTGTTTTCCTGTATACAGGTTCCCTGTATATTTGTTTGGCCTGTATAGTTATATTCTTGCTTTACAAGGCACCTGTATTAATTTTGCGTTCTCACGCAAAATTTTCAATTCATCTTGTGTGAAGCCCAGACTCCAATGCACTTTGTATTTGGAACATGATTTCTAATTTGCTGTAACATAACAAATCTGTGACATATTGTATTTAATTAAGTTTAAGATGGATAGTTTTTGTTCATGCTGAATGCATTCAATACCCACTCCAATTCATCAGGAAATAAAATTCAAACAAGTCTTTCAAAGTTTCGAGATGCTCCTGAATAATTTTCTGTATTGTTTCTAAATCTCGATGTTATTTTCTTCCAAATGGGTAATTGTAAGAATCATTATCTTCCTTTTCCAAGAACTCATGAACGTAAGTTTCTCTTAAAAATATACTTAGCGTTTACATAAAAAAACGGTCTGGTATTTGCCCTACATACATTAATTTCATTCATTTTGATTCAAATTTCGACCAGTATGTCATTTTACATACTTAGTATTCTTCCTTTTAAACTTTCGCCAATATAAAGTTAATATGGTTCATTAAAAATAGTACTACCAGTGCAAGCAGATTCAAAACATACATCAACTATTTCCTCGAGACATTCACTTTACTTCAGTATGCAGCAGGAGTGATCAAGATAGCGTCTTGAATCTGCTTGTAAATCTACTAAGTTTGCTTTTTAGAGTTCTCGATTTTAGACAGCTTATGCTGATTATTTTTATCAATGAATATTTAAGCATCTACGTTTGCAATCAACATTTATACTATACAACTAAACCTCGCAAAGAAATCAAACACACAGAAAACTCGTAGAAAAATCTCTAAAATATTGTATGTGTCATTATGAAGATCTTTCATGATTCACATAGTGAAAATTCCAAAGAATAAAGGAACGACCAAGCAATGTCTGTTAGAAGAGAAGCGAAAATTAATTTAGCGAATTTCTGCTTTCAGAAAATAATTTCTTTCTTTATTTCTACTTTTTGTCATCAGCATCAGCTTTTTTTAATTTTAATTTTTAATATGCAAAATCATATCGCTGTTTTGGTTCATTTAAAATGGTCAATTTAATTCTCCCTGCTGTCATTAATTATTTAATGGTACAGTTAATTTAATAGTGCTCTTACAGTCAATAGGTTAATTGTAGTATAGCGAATAGTAACACCATTTACAATTAAAATTTGATTTGGATTGTAGTCAGTGCAAAAAATATGTTTATCATACATCAAAAGAAAAGCGATCTTTATTACATATCAAAGAAATGCTTTCCTAAGTTGCTTAAAATCTGTCTCCTATCTATATCTACAGTGTCTCCCAGAAGTGTTAGAACTCGCGATTTGCAGAAAAAGAAGTATAACCCGAAATTGAATTCGAATATAAAGCCCAATATTTTCTCATATCATCTTCATCTGATTTTTAGTAAAACCAAATTTTTAATGTTTTTAAAATTGACTTTGAATATTAAAACTGAAATACTAAAATAAGTGTGTACTAAAATAAGTATGAATATTTTATTTTTAATACTAAAATTGAAATGTAAGGAGGCATAGATAAAACACGCGACAAAAGTGATCATACATTGAAACATTTTGATAAATAAAATTATCGTCTGCCACTTATTTATATTTTTGTGAAGTTTATAAAATTGTTTGGCTTTATTTTTTGCTTGCTTACTACGTTATATTTTATTTAATGTTTAAAAACGTCTCGTAATCGTAGGAAAACGAGCAGAATTTGGAAATTGATAATTCTTAATAATAAGGAAAATTAAAATTAGATTCGGGATGTCGCTAAATTAGTAAACTTATCCCATTCTACAGTTCAGTATGTGATAAAATGCTCTAAAAAAGAAAACAGGATCCAAAATAAAATAAGAAAAGGTTTTTCCGCAAAGAGGATTCGACCTAACTCATCGTGATCAGAGATTTATAGTTACCAACATATGTAAAACATCCGTGTTTGAGTGTTGTAAAGATTTCTAAGAATTTACTGAAAATTTCCCAGTTCAGTTTCACTTAAAACTGTTCGACAAGTAATCAGATCAGCTGGATTACATGCGCTCTTTGCTCGAAGAAAAATATTTGGAAATGAAAAAAAAAAAAAAAATTAGAAAGCTTAGGATCTTTTCTTGAAATAAATGGTAAATAAGCGTATTGGAGTCATGTCTTATTTGCAGATGAAAGCAAATTTAAGACTTTGGGCTCATATGGAAGTATAATTGTGAGGGGAAAAAACGAGGAGCTTAATCCCAAGACATTGGTTGGAACAGTAAAGCCTGGCGGTGAAGGTGTTCTTGTGTCATCAGGATTAAATAATTTGGTATTTTTTAATCAGGAAGAAACATCAGGATTAAATAATGTAGTATTCTTTGATGGCACAATGAACCATGCTCTTTATTTAAATATTTTGAAA